GGACATGGACGTGGACAGGGACGTGGACGTGGACGTGGACATGGACGTGGACATGGACGTGGACTTGGACGTGGACGTGGACTTGGACGTGGACGAGACGTGGACGTGGACGTGGACGTGGACGTGGACGTGGACGTGGACGTGGACATGGACGTGGACGTGGACGTGGACATGAACGTGGACGTAGACGTGGACGTGGACGTGGACGTGGACCTGGACCTGGACATGGACGTGGACGTGGACGTGGACGTGGACGTGGACGTGGACGTGGACCTGGAAATGGACGTGGACGTGGACGTGGACGTGGAGGTGGACGTGGACATGGACAAGGACGTAGAAATGGACGTGGACGTGGACGTGCACATGGACGTGGACGTGGACGTGGACATGGACGTAGACGTGGACATGGACGTGGACGTAGAAATGGACGTGAACGTGGACGTGGACATGGACGTGGATGTAGACGTGGACGTGGACGTGGACGTAGACGTGGACGTGGACGTGGACGTGGACGTGGACGTGGACATGGACGTGGACATGGACGTGGATGTGGACGTGGACGTAGAAATTGACGTGGACGTGGACATGGACGTGGACCTGGACGTGGACATGGGCGTGGACGTAGAAATGGACGTGGACGTGGACGTGGACATGGACGTGGACGTAGACGTGGACGTGGACGTGGACGTAGAAATGGACGTGGACGTGGACGTGGACATGGACATGGACGTGGACGTGGACGTGGACATGGACGTGGACATGGACATGGAGGTGGACGTGGACGTGGACGTGGACGTGGACGTGGACGTAGACGTGGACATGGACGTGGACATGGACGTGGACATGGACGTGGACATGGATGTAGACGTGGACGTGGACGTGGACGTGGACATGGACGTGGACGTGGACGTGGACATGGACGTGGACGTGGACGTGGACATGGACGTGGACATGGGACATGGACGTGGACATGGACGTGGACGTGGACATGGACGTGGACGTGGACGACGTGGACGTGGACGTGGACGTGACATGGACGTGGACATGGACGTGGACTTGGACGTGGACGTGGACATGGACGTGGACGTGGATATGGACGTAGACGTGGACGTGGACGTGGACATGGACGTGGACGTGGACGTGGACATGGACGTGGACGTGGACATGGACGTGGACGTGGACATGGACGTGGACGTGGACATGGACGTGGACGTGGACATGGACGTGGACGTGGACATGGACGTAGACGTGGACGTGGACGTGGACGTGGACGTGGACGTGGACGTGGACGTAGACGTGGACGTGGACATGGACGTGGACGTGGACCTGGACGTGGACGTGGACGTGGACGTGGACGTGGACGTGGACATGGACGTAGACATGGACGTGGACGTGGACGTGGACGTGGACGTGGACATGGACGTGGACGTGGACGTGGACGTGGACATGGACGTGGACGTGGACGTGGAAGTGGACGTGGACGTAGACGTGGACGTGGACATGGACATGGACGTGGACCTGGACCTGGACGTGGACGTGGACGTGGACGTGGACGTGGACATGGACGTAGACATGGACGTGGACGTGGACGTGGACGTGGACCTGGACATGGACGTGGACGTGGACGTGGACGTGGACATGGACGTGGACGTGGACGTGGAAGTGGACGTGGACGTAGACGTGGACGTGGACATGGACATGGACGTGGACCTGGACCTGGACGTGGACGTGGACGTGGACGTGGACATGGACGTAGACATGGACATGGACGTGGACGTGGACGTGGACGTGGACATGGACGTGGACGTGGACGTGGACGTGGACATGGACGTGGACGTGGACGTGGAAGTTGACGTGGACGTGGACGTGGACGTGGACGTGGACGTGGACGTGGACATGGACGTGGACGTCGACGTGGACATGGACGTGGACGTGGACGTGGACGTGGACGTGGACGTAGAAATGGACGTGGACGTGGACGTGGACGTGGACGTGGACGTGGACGTAGAAATGGACGTGGACGTGGACGTGGACGTGGACGTGGACATGGACGTGGACATGGACGTGGACGTGGACGTGGACGTGGACATGGACGTCGACGTGGATGTGGACGTGGACGTGGACGTAGTTATGGACGTGGACGTGGACGTGGACATGGACGTGGACATGGACGTGGACATGGACGTGGACATGGACGTGGACATGGACGTGGACATGGACATGGACGTGGACATGGACGTGGACGTGGACATGGACGTGGACGTGGACGTAGAAATGGACGTGGACGTGGACGTAGAAATGGACGTGGACGTGGACGTGGAAGTGGATATGGACGTGGACATGGACATGGACGTGCACGTGGACGTGGACATGGACGTGGACGTAGAAATGGACGTGGACGTGGACGTGGACATGGACGTGGACGTGGACGTGGACGTGGACGTGGACGTGGACGTGGACATGGACGTGGACATGGACGTGGACATGGACGTGGACATGGACGTGGACGTGGACGTGGACATGGACGTGGACGTGGACGTGGACGTGGACGTGGACATGGACGTGGACATGGACGTGGACGTGGACGTGGACGTGGACGTGGACATGGACATGGACGTGGACGTGGACGTGGAGGTGGACGTGGACGTGGACGTGGACGTGGACGTGGACGTGGACGTGGACGTGGACGTGGACGTCGACGTGGACATGGACGTGGACGTGGACGTGGACGTGGACATGGACGTGGACGTGGACGTGGACGTGGACGTGGACGTAGAAATGGACGTGGACGTGGACGTGGACATGGACGTGGACGTGGACGTGGACGTAGAAATGGACGTAGACGTGGACGTGGACGTGGACGTGGACATGGACGTGGACATGGACGTGGACGTGGACGTGGACATGGACGTGGACGTGGACGTGGACATGGACGTGGACGTGGACGTAGAAATGGACGTGGACGTGGACGTGGACATGGATGTGGACATGGACGTGGACATGGACGTGGACATGGACGTGGACATGGACATGGACGTGGACATGGACGTGGACGTGGACATGGACGTGGACGTGGACGTGGACGTAGAAATGGACGTGGACGTGGACGTAGAAATGGACGTAGACGTGGACGTGGAAGTGGACATGGAAGTGGACATGGACGTGGACGTGGACGTGGACGTGGACATGGACGTGGACATGGACGTAGAAATGGACGTGGACGTGGACGTGGACATGGACGTGGACGTGGACGTGGACGTGGACGTGGTCGTGGACATGGACGTGGACGTGGACGTGGACGTGGACGTGGACATGGACCTGGATGTGGACGTGGACATGGACGTGGACGTGGACGTGGACGTGGACGTGGACGTGGACGTGGACGTAGACATGGACGTGGACGTGGACGTGGACGTGGACGTGGACGTGGACGTAGACGTGGACGTGGACGTGGACGTGGACGTGGACGTGGACATGGACGTGGACGTGGACGTGGACGTGGACGTGGAAATGGACGTGGACGTGGACGTGGACGTGGACGTGGTCGTGGACATGGACGTGGACGTGGACGTGGACATGGACGTAGACATGGACGTGGACGTAGACATGGACGTGGACGTGGACGTGGACATGGACGTGGACGTGGACGTGGACATGGACGTGGACATGGACGTGGACGTGGACGCGAACGTGGACGCGGTCGTGGACGTGAACGTGGACATGGACGTGGACGTGGACGTGGACGTGGACGCAGACGTGGACGTGGACGTGGACGTGGACGTGGACGTGGACGTGGACGTGGACATGGACGTGGACATGGACGTGGAGGAGGACGTGGACGTGGACGTGGACGTGGACGTGGACGTGGACGTAGACGTGGACGTGGACATGGACGTGGACGTGGACGTGGACATGGACGTGGACATGGACGTAGACGTGGACGTGGACGTGGACATGGACGTGGACGTGGACGTGGACGTGGACATGGACGTGGACGTGGACGTGGACATGGACGTGGACATGGACGTGGACATGGACGTGGACGTGGACGTGGACGTGGACATGGACGTGGACGTGGACGTGGACGTGGACGTGGACGTGGACATGGACTTGGACATGGACGTGGACTTGGACGTGGACGTGGACATGGACGTAGACGTGGACGTGGACGTGGACATGGACGTGGACGTGGACGTGGACGTGGACGTGGACGTGGACATGGACGTGGACATGGACGTGGACATGGACGTGGACGTGGACATGGACGTGGACGTGGACATAGACATGGACGTGGACATGGACGTGGACGTGGACGTGGACGTGGACATGGACGTGGACGTGGACGTGGACGTGGACGTGGACATGGACGTGGACGTGGACGTGGACATGGACGTGGACGTGGACATGGACGTGGACATGGACGTGGACATGGACGAGGACGTGGACGTGGACGTGGACATGGACGTGGACGTGGACGTGGACGTGGAGGTGGACGTGGAGGTGGACGTGGACGTGGACATGGACGAGGACGTGGACGTGGACGTGGACGTGGACGTGGACGTAGAAATGGAGGTGGACGTGGACGTGGACCTGGACGTTGACGTGGACGTGGACCTGGACGTTGACGTCCGCGTGGACGTGGACATGGACATGGACGTGGACGTGGACGTGGACGTGGACGTGGACGTAGACGTGGACGTGGACGTGGACGTGGACGTGGACGTGGACGTGGACGTGGACATGGACGTGGACGTGGACGTGGACGTGGACGTGGAAATGGACGTGGACGTGGACGTGGACGTGGACGTGGTCGTGGACATGGACGTGGACGTGGACGTGGACATGGACGTAGACATGGACGTGGACGTAGACATGGACGTGGACGTGGACGTGGACATGGACGTGGACGTGGACGTGGACATGGACGTGGACGTATGGACGTGGACGTGGACGTGGACGCGGACGTGGACGTGAACGTGGACGCGGACGTGAACGTGGACATGGACGTGGACGCGGACGTGGACGTGGACGTGGACGCGGACGTGGACGTGGACGTGGACGCGGACGTGGACGTGGACGTGGACGTGGACATGGACGTGGACATGGACGTGGAGGAGGACGTGGACGTGGACGTGGAGGAGGACGTGGACGTGGACGTGGACGTAGACGTGGACGTGGACATGGACGTAGACGTGGACGTGGACATGGACGTGGACGTGGACGTGGACGTGGACGTGGACGTGGACGTAGACGTGGACGTGGACGTGGACATGGACGTGGACGTGGACGTGGACATGGACGTGGACGTGGACGTGGACATGGACGTGGACGTGGACGTGGACGTGGACGTGGACGTGGACGTGGACGTGGACGTGGACATGGACTTGGACATGGACGTGGACTTGGACGTGGACGTGGACATGGACGTGGACGTGGACATGGACGTGGACGTGGACGTGGACGTGGAGGTGGACGTGGACGTGGAGGTGGAGGTGGAGGTGGACGTGGACGTGGACATGGACGAGGACGTGGACGTGGACGTGGACGTGGACGTGGACGTGGACGTAGAAATGGAGGTGGACGTGGACGTGGACCTGGACGTTGACGTGGACGTGGACCTGGACGTTGACGTCCGCGTGGACGTGGACGTGGACGTGGAGGACGTGGACGTGGAGGTGGACGTGGACGTGGACGTGGACGTGGACGTGGACGAGGACGAGGACGTAGACGTGGACGTGGATGGACGTGGACGTGGACGTGGACGTGGACGTGGACGTGGTCGTGGACGTGGTCGTGGACATGGACGTGGACCTGGACCTGGACGTTGACGTGGACGTGGACGTGGACGTGGACGTGGAGGACATGGACGTAGACGTGGACGTGGAGGACATGGACGTGGACGTGGACGTGGACGTGGACGTGGACGTAGACGTGGACGTGGAAATGGACGTGGACGTGGACGTGGACGTGGACGTGGACTAGACGTGGACGTGGACGTGGACGTGGACGAGGAGGAGGACGTGGACGTGGACGTGGACCTGGACGTGGACGTGGACGTAGAAATGGACGTGGACGTGGACGTGGACATGGACGTGGACATGGACGTGGACATGGACGTGGACATGGACGTGGATATGGACATGGACGTGGACATGGACGTGGACGTGGACGTGGACGTGGACGTGGACGTGGACATGGACGTGGACGTGGACGTGGACGTGGACGTGGACGTGGACGTGGACGTGGACGTGGACGTGGACTAGACGTGGACGTGGACGTGGACGTGGACGTGGACGAGGAGGAGGACGTGGACGTGGACGTGGACGTGGACGTGGACGTAGAAATGGACGTGGACGTGGACGTGGACGTGGACATGGACGTGGACATGGACGTGGACATGGACGTGGACATGGACGTGGACATGGACGTGGACATGGACGTGGACGTGGACATGGACGTGGACGTGGACGTGGACGTGGACGTGGACGTGGACGTGGACATGGACGTGGACGTGGACGTGGACGTGGACGTGGACGTGGACGTGGACGTGGACGTGGACGTGGACATGGACGTGGACGTGGAGGTGGACGTGGACGTGGACGTGGACGTGGACGTGGACATGGACGTGGACGTGGACGTGGACGTGGACGTGGACGTGGACGTGGACGTGAACGTGGACGTGGACGTGGACGTGGACGTGGACGTGGACGTGGACGTGGACGTGGACGTGGACATGGACGTGGACATGGACGTGGACGTGGACGTGGACGTGGACATGGACGTGGACGTGGACGTGGGCGTGGAAATGGACGTGGACATGGACGTGGACGTGGACGTGGACGTGGACGTGGACATGGACGTGGACATGGACATGGACGTGGACGTGGACATGGACGTGGACGTGGACGTGGACGTGGACGTGGACATGGACGTGGACATGGACGTGGACGTAGACGTGGACGTAGAAATGGACGTGGACGTGGACGTGGACATGGACGTGGACGCAGACGTGGACGTGAACGTGGACGCAGACGTGGACGTGGACGTGGACATGGACGTGGACGTGGACGTGGACGTGGACATGGACGTGGACGTGGACATGGACGTGGACGTGGACGTGGACATGGACGTGGACATGGACATGGAGGAGGACGTGGACGTGGACGTGGACGTGGACGTGGACGTGGACGTGGACATGGACGTGGACGTGGACGTGGACGTGGACATGGACGTGGACGTGGACGTGGACGTGGACATGGACGTGGACATGGACGTGGACGTGGACATGGACGTGGACGTGGACGTGGACGTGGACGTGGACATGGACGTGGACGTGGACGTGGACATGGACGTGGACATGGACGTAGACATGGACGTGGACGTGGACATGGACGTGGACGTGGACATGGACATGGACGTGGACATGGACATGGACATGGACATGGACGTGGACATGGACATGGACATGGACATGGACATGGACATGGACGTGGACATGGACATGGACGTGGACGTGGACATGGCATGGACGTGGACGTGGACGTGGACGTGGACGTGGACATGGACTTGGACATGGACGTGGACTTGGACGTGGACATGGACGTGGACGTGGACGTGGACATGGACGTGGACATGGACGTGGACATGGACGTGGACGCGGACATGGACATGGACGTGGACATGGACATGGACGTGGACATGGACGTGGACGTGGACGTGGACGTGGACATGGACGTGGACGTGGACTTGGACGTGGACATGGACGTGGACGTGGACGTGGACGTGGACATGGACGTGGACGTGGACGTGGACGTGGACATGGAACGACTTGGACGTGGACGTGGACATGGACGTAGACGTGGACGTGGACGTGGACATGGATGTGGACGTGGACGTGGACGTGGACATGGACGTGGACGTGGACGTGGACATGGACGTGGACATGGACGTGGACATGGACGTGGACGTGGACATGGACGTGGACGTGGACATGGACATGGACGTGGACATGGACGTGGACGTGGACGTGGACATGGACGTGGACGTGGACGTGGACGTGGACATGGACGTGGACGTGGACGTGGACGTGGACATGGACGTGGACGTGGACATGGACGTGGACGTGGACGTGGACGTGGACTTGGACGTGGACGTGGACATGGACGTAGACGTGGACGTAGACGTGGACATGGACGTGGACGTGGACGTGGACATGGACGTGGACATGGACGTGGACATGGACGTGGACGTGGACATGGACGTGGACGTGGACATGGACATGGACGTGGACATGGACGTGGACGTGGACGTGGACGTGGACATGGACGTGGACGTGGACGTGGACGTGGACGTGGACATGGACGTGGACGTGGACGTGGACATGGACGTGGACGTAGACATGGACGTGGACGTGGACATGGACGTGGACATGGACGTGGACATGGACGAGGACGTGGACGTGGACATGGACGTGGACGTGGACGTGGACGTGGAGGTGGACGTGGAGGTGGACGTGGACGTGGACATGGACGAGGACGTGGACGTGGACGTGGACGTGGACGTGGACCTGGACGTGGACGTAGAAATGGAGGTGGACATGGACGTGGACCTGGACGTTGACGTGGACGTGGACCTGGACGTTGATGTGCGCGTGGACGTGGACGTGGACGTGGAGGACGTGGACGTGTAGGTGGACGTGGACGTGGACGTGGACGTGGACGTGGACGTGGTCGTAGACGTGGTCGTGGACGTGGACGTGGACGTGGACGTGGACCTGGACGTTGACGTGGACGTGGACGTAGAAATGGAGGTGGACGTGGACGTGGACCTGGACGTTGACGTGGACGTGGACCTGGACGTTGATGTGCGCGTGGACGTGGACGTGGACGTAATGGACGTGGACGTGGACGTGGACGCGGACGTGGACGTGGACGTGGACGTGGACGTGGACGCGGACGCGGACGTGGACGTGGACGTGGACGTGGACGTGGACGTGGACGTGGACGTGGACGTGGACGTGGACGTGGAGGACGTGGACGTAGACGCGGACCTGGACGTGGACGCGGACGTGGACGCGGACGCGGACGTGGACGCGGACGCGGACGTGGACGCGGACGTGGACGTGGACGTGGACGTGGACGTGGACGTGGACGTGGACGTGGACGTGGACGTGGAGGTGGACGTGGACGTGGACGTGGAAGTGGACGTGGACGTGGACGTGGACCTGGACGTGGACCTGGACGTGGAACTTGACGTGGACGTGGACGTGGACCAGGACGTGGAAGTGGACGTGGACATGGACGTGGACCTGGACGTGGACCTGGACGTGGACATGGACGTGGACGTGGACGTGGACATGGACGTGGACGTGGACGTGGACGTGGACGTAGACATGGACGTGGACGTGGACGTGCACATGGACATGGACGTGGACGTGGACGTCGACATGGACGTGGACATGGACATGGACATGGACCTGGAGGTGGACGTGGACGTGGACATGGACGTAGAAATGGACGTGGACGTGGACGTGGACGTGGACATGGACGTAGAAATGGACGTGGACGTGGACGTGGACGTGGACGTGGACATGGACGTGGACGTGGACGTAGACATGGACGTAGAAATGGACGTTGACGTGGACGTGGACGTGGACGTGGACGTGGACGTGGACGTAGAAATGGAGGTGGACGTGGACGTGGACCTGGACGTTGACGTGGACGTGGACCTGGACGTTGACGTGCGCGTGGACGTGGACGTGGACGTGGAGGACGTGGACGTGGAGGTGGACGTGGACGTGGACGTGGACGTGGACGTGGACGAGGACGAGGACGTGGACGTGGACGTGGATGGACGTGGACGTGGACGTGGACGTGGACGTGGTCGTGGTCGTGGACGTGGACGTGGACGTGGACGTGGACCTGGACGTTGACGTGGCCGTGGACGTGGACGTGGACGTGGAGGACATGGACGTGGACGTGGACGTGGAGGACATGGACGTGGACGTGGACGTGGACGTGGACGTGGAAATGGACGTGGACGTGGACGTGGACGTGGACTAGACGTGGACGTGGACGTGGACGTGGACGTGGACGAGGAGGAGGACGTGGACGTGGACGTGGACGTGGACGTGGACGTGGACGTAGAAATGGAGGTGGACGTGGACGTGGACCTGGACGTTGACGTGGACGTGGACCTGGACGTTGACGTGCGCGTGGACGTGGACGTGGACGTGGAGGACGTGGACGTGGACGTGGACATGGACGTGGACGTGGACGTGGACGTGGACCTGGACGTCGATGGCACGTGGACCTGGACGTGGAGGTGGATGTGGAGGACATGGACGTGGACGTGGACGTGGACGTAGAAATGGACGTGGACGTGGACGTGGACGTTGACGCGGACGTGGACGTGGACGTGGACGTCGACGTGGACGTGGACCTGGACGTTGACGTGGATCTGGACGAGGACGTGGACGTGGACGTGGAGGACATGGACGTGGACGTGGACGTGGACGTGGACGTAGAAATGGACGTGGACGTGGACGTGGACGTGGACCTGGACCTGGACGTTGACGTGCACGTGGACGTGGACATGGACGTGGACGTGGAGGACATGGACGTGGACGTGGACGTGGACGTTGACGTGGACGTGGACGTGGACGTGGACATGGACGTGGACGTGGACGTGGACGTGGACGTGGACGTGGACATGGACGTGGACATGGACGTGGACGTGGACGTGGACGTGGACATGGACGTGCACGTGGACGTGGACCTGGACGTGGACGTGCACGTGGAGGTGGACGTGGACGTGGACGTGGACGTGGACCTGGACGTTGACGTGCACGTGGACGTGGACCTAGACGTGGACGTGGACGTGGAGGACATGGACGTGGACGTGGACGTGGACGTGGACGAGGACGAGGACGTGGACGTGGACGTGGACGTGGACGAGGACGTGGACGAGGACGTGGACGTGGACGTGCACGTGGACGTGGACGTGGATGTGGACGTGGAGGACATGGACGTGGACGTGGACGTGGACGTTGACGTGGACGTGGACGTGGACGTGGACATGGACGTGGACGTGGACGTGGACGTGGACGTGGACATGGACGTGGACCTGGACGTGGACGTGGACGTGGACGTGGACGTGGACGTGGACCTGGACCTGGACCTGGACGTTGACGTGCACGTGGACGTGGACGTGGACGTGGACGTGGACGTGGACGTGGAGGACATGGACGTGGACGTGGACGTGGACGTTGACGTGGACGTGGACGTCGACGTGGACGAGGAGGAGGACAAGGACGTGGACGTGGACGTGGACGTGGACGTGGACATGGACGTACACGTGAACGTGGACGTGGACGTGGACATGGACGTGGACGTGGACGTGGACGTGGACATGGTCGTGGACGTGGACGTGGACGTGGACGTGGACGTGGACGTGGACGTGGACATGGACGTGGAGGTGGACGTGGAGGTGGACGTGGACGTGGTCATGGACGTGGACGTGGACGTGGACGTGGACGTGGACGTGGACCTGGACGTGGACGTGGACGTGGACATGGACGTGGACGTGGACATGGACGTGGACGTGGACATGGTCGTGGACATGGACATGGTCGTGGACGTGGACGTAGACATGGACATGGTCGTGGACATGGACATGGACGTGGACATGGACATGGTCGTGGACATGGACATGGTCGTGGACGTGGACGTGGACATGGACATGGTCGTGGACATGGACATGGTCGTGGACATGGACATGGACGTGGACATGGACGTGGACATGGACATGGTCGTGGACGTGGACGTGGACGTGGACATGGACGTTGACGTGGACATGGACGTGGTCATGGACGTGGACGTGGACGTGGACATAGACGTGGACGTGGACGTGGACATAGATGTGGACGTGGACATAGATGTGGTCGTGGTCGTGGACGTGGACGTGGACGTGGTCATGGACGTGGATATGGACGTGGACGTGGAGGACGTGGACGTGGAGGACGTGGAGGACGTGGACGTGGAGGACGTGGACGTGGACGTGGAGGACGTGGACGTGGACGTGGACGTAGACATGGTTGTGGACGTGGACGTTGACGTGGACGTGGACGTGGACGTGGTCGTGGACGTGGAGGACTTGGACGTTGACATGGACGTGGACGTGGACGTGGACGTGGACATGGTCGTGGACGTGGACGTGGACGTGGACATGGACGTGGACGTGGACGTGGACGTGGAAGTGGACGTGGACGTGGACATGGATGTGGACGTGGACGTGGACGTGGACGTGGACGTCGACGTGGAGCTTGCGTGGTCGAGGAGCGTGCCTGGTCCATGGGCTTGCGTGATCCAGGAGCTTGCCTGGTCCAGGAGCTTGCTTGGTCCAGAAGCTTGCCTGGTCCAGGAGCTTGCCTTGTCTAGGAGCTTGCCTGGTCCAGGAGCTTGCCTCGTCCAAGAGCTTGCGTGGTCGAGGAGCTTACCTGGTCCAGGAGCTTGCCTCGTCGAAGAGCTTGCCTTATCAAGGAGCTTGCCTGGTCCAAGAGCTTTCCTGGTCCAGGAGCGTGCCTGATCTAGGAGCTTGCTTAGACAAGGAGCTTGCCTGATCCAAAAGCTTGCCTTGTCCAAGAGCTTGCCTGGTCCAGGAGCTTGCTTGGTCCAAGAGCTTGCTCGGTCCAAGCTTGCCTAGTCCAGGAGCATGCCTAGTCTAAGAGCTTGCCTGGTCGAGGAGGTTGCCTCGTCAAGGAGCTTGCCTGGACCAGGAGCTGGCCTGGTCCAAAAGCGTGCCTGAAGCTAAAATGCGCCTGGTCCATGAGCTTGCCTGGTCCAGGAGCTTGTCTAGTCCAGGAGCGTGCCTGGTCCAGGAGCTTGCCTGGTCCAGGAGCGTGCCTGGTCCAGGTGCTTGCCTGGTCCACGAGCTAGCCTCGTCCTAGAGCTTGTCTGGTCCAGGAGCGTCCTTGGTCGAGGAGCTTCCCTGGTCCAGGAGCTTGCCTGGTCCAAGAGCTTGCCTGGTCCTGGAGCTTCACTGGTCCAAGAGCTTGCCAGGTGCAAGAGCTTGTCAGGTCCAGGTGCATGCCGGGACCAAGAGCTTGCCTGGTCCAGGAGCGTGCCTGGTCAAGGAGCTTGCCTGGTCCAGGAGCTGGCCTGGTCCTGGAGCATGCCTGGTCTTGGAATGTGTCTTGTCTAGGAGCGTGCCTAGTCCATGAGCTTGCCTCGTCTAGGAGCGTGCCTGGTCAAGGAGCTTGCCTGGTCCACGAGCTTGCCTGGTCCAAGAGCTTGCCTGGTCCAAGAGCTTGCCTGGTCCAAGAGCTTGCCTAGTCCACAAGCTTGCCTGGTCCAAGAGCTTGCCTCGTCAAGGAGCTTGCCTGGTTCAGGAGCTGGCCTCGTCTAGGAGCGTGCCTGGTCCTGGAATGTGTCTGGTCCAGGAGAGTGCCTAGTCCATAAGCTTGCCTCGTCTAGGAGCTTGCCTGGTCCAGGAGCTTACCTGGTCCTGGAGCTTGCCTGATCCTGGAGCTTGCCTGGTCCAAGGCAAGCTAACCGACCAAGAAAGCTCCAGGACAGGGCAGGCTCCTGGACCAGGCACGCTCCTAGAACAGGCAAGCTCCTGGACCAGGCAAAGCTCCTGGACCAGGCAAGCTCTTTGACCAGGCAAGCTCCTGGACTAGGCAAGCTCCTGGACCAGGCACGCTCCTGGACCCGGCAAGCTCCTAGACCGGGCAAGCTCTTGGACCAGGCAAGCTCCTGGTCCAGGCAAACTCGTGGACCAGGCACGCTCCTGGACCAGGCAAGATCTTGGACGAGGCAAGCTCCTGGACCAGGCAAGCTCCTAGACCAGGCAAGCTCCTGGACCACGAACGCTCCTGGACCTGGTAAGCTCCTAGACCAGGCAAGATCTTGGACGAGGCAAGCTCCTAGACCAGGCAAGCTCCTGGATCAGGCAAGCTCCTCGACCAGGCACGCTCCTGGACCAGGCAAGCTCCTAGACGAGGCAAGGTCCTGGACCAGGCAAGCTCCTAGACCAGGCAAGCTCGTGGACCAGCCATGCTCTTGGACCAGCCAAGCTCTTGGACAGGGCATGCTCCTAAACCACGAAAGCTCTTGGACCAGGCAAGCTCTTGGACCTGGCAAGCTCCTGGACCAGCCAAGCTCCCGGACCATGCAAGCTCGTGGACCAGGCACGGTCTTGGACCAGGCAAGATCCTAGACCAGGCAAGCTCCTGGACCAGGCAAGCTCCTGGACCAGGCAAGCTCGTGGACCGGCCAAGCTCGTGGACCATGCAAGCTCCTTGACCGGGCAAGCTCCTAGACCAGGCACGCTCCTCGACCAGGCAAGCTCCTAGACCAGGCAAGCTCCTGGACCACGCAAGCTCTTGGACCAGGCACGCTCTTGGACCAGGCAAGCTCTTGGACCAGGTAGGCTTCATGACCGGGCAAGCTGCTGAACAAGGCAAGCTCCTGGACCAGGCAAGATCCTAGTCCAGCCAAGCTCATGGACCACGCAAGCTCCTGGACCAGGAACGCTCGTTGACCAGGCACGCTCTTGGACCAGGCAAGCTCCTAGACCAGGCAAGGTCCTGGACCAGGCAAACTCCTGGACCAGGCAAGCTCATGGACCGGGCACGCTCTGGACCAGGCAAGCTCCTGGACCAGGCAAGCTCCTAAACCACGCAAGCTCTTAGACCGGGCAAGCTCGTGGAACACGCAAGCTCGTGGACCACGCAGGCTCCTGGACCAGGCAAGCTCCTAGACCAGGCAAGCTCCTTGACCAGGCAAGCTCTTGGACCAGGCACCCTCTTGGACCAGGCAGGCTTCTGGACCAAGCAAGCTCCTGGACCACGCAAGCTCCTGGACCAAGCAAGCTCGTGGACCAGGCAGGCTCCTGGACCAGGCAAGCTCCTGGACCAAGCAAGCTCCTGGACCAGGCACACTCGTGGACCAGGCACACTCCTGGACCAGGCAAGCTCTTGGACCAGGCACGCTCTTGGACCAGGCAAGCTATTGGACCACGCAAGCTCCTGGACCAGGCACGCTCGTGGACCAGGCACGCTCCTAGCCTAGGCACGCTCCTGGAACAGGCAACCTCATGGACCAAGCACGCTCCTTGACCAGGCAAGCTCCTGGACGAGGCAAGCTCCTAGACCATGCAAGCTCTTGGACCAAGCACGCTCCTGGACCAGGCAAGCTCTTGGACCAGGCACGCTTCTCGACCAAGCAAGCTCCTGGACCAGGCAAGCTCCTGGACGACGCAAGCTCTTGGACCAGGTAGGCATCTAGACCAAGCAAGCTCCTGGACCTGGCAAGCTCCTGGACCACGCAAGCTTCTGGACAAGGCAAGCTCCCGGACCAGGCAATATCTTGGACCAGGCAAACTCCCGGTCCAAGGAAGCTTCTGGACCAAGCAAGCTCGTGGACCGGGCACGCTCCTGGACCAGGCAAGTTCCTAGACGAGGCAAGCTCCTGGACCAGGCAGGCTCCTGGACCTTGCAAGCTCCTGGACTTGGCAAGCTCCTGTACCAGGCACGCTCTTGGACCAGGCAAGCTCCTAGACTAGGCAAGCTCCTCGACCACGCAAGCTCTTGGACCAGACAAGCTCCTGGACCGGGCAAGCTCCTGGACCAGTCAAGCTAACGGACCATGAAAGCTCCTGGACAAGGCAAGCTCCTGGACCAGGCAAGCTTCCGGACCAGGCACGCTCTTGGACCAGGCAAGCTCCTAGACCAGGCAAGTTCCTAGACTAGGCAAGCTCCTGGACCAGGCAAGCTCCTAGACCACGCAAGCTCTTGGACCAGGCAAGCTCTTGGACAAGGCAAGCTTGCGTGGTCCAAGAGCGTGCCTGGTCCAAGAGCTTGCGTGGTCCAGGAGCTTGCCTGGTCTAGGAGCTTGCCTGGTCCAGGAGCGTGCCTGATCTAGGAGCTTGCCTGGTCAAGGAGCTTGCCTGGTCCAAGAGCTTGCCTGGTCCAGGAGCGTGCCTGGTCCAAGAGCTTGCCTGGTCCAGGAGCTTTCATGGTCCAAGAGCTTGCTTGGTCCAGAAGCCTGCCTGGTCCAAGAGCTTGCCTGGTCCCGGAGCGTGTCTGGGTTAAGAGCTTGCCTGGTCCAGGAGCTTGCGTGGTCGAGGAGCTTGCCTGGTCCAGGAGCTTGCCTGGTCCAGGAGCTTGCCTTGTCCAAGAGCTTGCCTGGTCCAAGAGCTTGCGTGGTCTAGGAGCTTGCCTGGTCCAGGAGCTTGCCTAGTCTAGGAGCTTGCCTGGTCTAGGAGCTTGCCTGGTCCAAGAGCGTGCCTGGTCCGGAAGCTTGCCTGGTCCAGGAGCTTGCCTGGTCTAGGAGCTTGCATGGTCCAGGAGCGTGCTTGGTCCAGGAGCTTGCCTGGTCCATGAGCTATCCTGGTCCAGGAGCTTGCCTGATCAAGGAGCTTGCCTGGTCCAGGAGCTTGGCTTCTGTTCCAAGAGCTTGCTTGGTCCAGAAGCCTGCCTGGTCCAAGAGCTTGCGTGGTCCAGGAGCTTGCGTGGTCTAGGAGCTTGCCTGGTGAAGGAGCTTGCCTGGTCCAGGAGCTTGCCTCGTCCAAGAGCTTGCCTGGTCCAGAAGCTTGCCTGGTCCAGGAGCTTGCCTAGTCCAGCAGCTTGCCTGGTCTAGGAGCTTGCCTTGTCTGGAGCTTGCTTGGTCCAAGCGCGTTCCTGGTCCACGAGTTTGCCTGGTCCAGAAGCTTACCTGGTCCAGGAGCTTGCCTGTTCCACGAGCAGGAGCTTGCCTTGTCCACGAGCTTTCATGGTCCATTAGCTTGCCTGGTCCAGGAGCTTGCCTGGTCCAGGAGCTTGCCTGGTTCAAAAGCTTGCATGGTCCAGGAGCTTGCGTGGTCCAAGAGCTTGCCTGGTCAAGGAGCTTGCCTGGTCGAGGAGCTTGCCTGGTCCAAGAGCTTGCCTGGTCTAGGAGCTTGCCTGGTCCTGGAGCTTGCCTAGTCCAGCAGCTTGCCTGGTCTAGGAGCTTGCCTGGTCTAGGAGCTTGCCTGGTCCAGGAGCGTTCCTGGTCCACGAGTTTGCCTGGTCCAAAAGCTTGCCTCGTCCAGGAGCGTTCCTGTGCCAAGAGCTTGCTTGGTCCAGAAGCCTGCCTGGTCTACGAGCTTGCCTGGTCCAGGAGTGTGCCTGGTCCAAGAGCTTGCGTGGTCCAGGAGCTTGCGTGGTCCAGGAGCTTGCCTGGTCAAGGAGCTTGCTTGGTCTAGGAGCTTGCATGGTCCAAGAGCTTGCCTGGTCCAGGAGCTTGCCTGGTCCAGGAGCTTGCCTAGTCCAGTAGCTTGCCTGGTCTAGGAGCTTGCCTGGTCTAGGAGCTTGCCTGGTCCAGGAGCGTTCCTGGTCCACGAGTTTGCCTGGTCCACAAGCTTGCCTAGTCCAGGATCGTTCCTGTGCCAAGAGCTTGCTTGGTCCAGAAGCCTGCCTGGTCCAAGAGCTTGCCTGGTCCAGGAGCGTGCCTGGTCCAAGAGCTTGCGTGGTCCATGAGCTTGCGTTGTCCAGGAGCTTGCCTGGTCAAGGAGCTTGCCTGGACTAGGAGCTTGCCTGGTCCAAGAGCTTGCCTGGTCCAGGAGCT